AGGATTGAGAATAGATTTTAATGTTTGGCTTACGATTAATGAGTACAATATCTATCCTAATATCTTATTATTTTTGGTGTTTTGTGCAAAAACTTATAATCACTGAAATTATGGCATTTTTCAGACATAAACACTTCAGATTAGATTTTATAATTAATTTTCAATTCCTTCTATACTTTAAATTGATTTAATAGTATAATAAAACTATTTATTGAGATATCTTATCGACAGTAATCTATAGTGGATTAGTGTTTAATTTAAATGCAATTCAAACGAATAGTTTAGGAACAGTGTTGTTATGACGATAAATGTTGATCTGATTTATATATTCTTTACATTAATTGTATTAAAAAGCATTTAAATCTATAATTTTCGATAATATTATAAAATTATATTTATCTCATGTTAAATAAAATGTTAATATTTTTATACGTTTACAGGAAAACCTCGTGGAGTGGACTTTCTTGAAGTGCAAAACACTTTGTTCAACATTCCCGGTGTCCTCAAAGTCCATAACTTGAGAATATGGTCGTTAAGTCTCGATAAGACCGCACTGTCCACACACCTGGCCATTGGTATGACAACAATTGTGCACAACATTTGAATTTGTATTTTCAAACTTCTATTTGTATTCAATATGACAGCCAAAGGACAGAATCCGACAAAAATACTGAACATAGCGTCCCAACAGATTAAGAATCGATACAATATCTATGAGCTAACCATTCAAGTGGAAGAATATAGGGATGAGATGAGTGACTGTCAACAGTGCCAAACACCCGAGTCTTAAGCGCTGATATATTAATCATTTCGTATAGTTTGGAAAATAACTTTTTTAAATCTCTTTTCATATTTCATAAATAATTATCGTTTTTAATGTATTTATTTTGTATTTTTGTTTCAATAAAAGCCTTGAAAATTCATTGATTTATTTAACGATAAAGAGTTGAGGAATTTTATGTAAAATTCATTTAACACTCAAATGATTGAATTCTGTGTGCAATCGATTTGTATGTTTTTAAAAATATTATTTTTTTAATGTTTAAGAAATTATACGTTGAAATGAAATGATTGTTTCATTACTCGTATGCAATATTCAATTAAAACTAAATTGAAGATTAATAACAAATTATTTATTTAATAGTCATATCAGAACAGCAAATGATAACCGATTAAAGAAAAGTTTGATTATTTATAGACATTACAAACACTCAGTAATCATTAGTAATGATTCATTACTTTCTAATGACGAGAAAAACTGTTGTTTTATTTGTCATTAAGTGTTTTCACTCATATTCAACGAATAAATGAATACTTAATAATCAAATGATTTCTAATCTAAATAATTAAAAAATACTAAAACAATATTTACTTTGATTTTACGTTTACATGTGCTGTGTATTTAAATAACAATTTCCTAGAATTCACTAATCAAGTGCTGAATTGAGTTAAAATACAAAAACAATTTGCTTTAGACGTCAAATAAATGCATGTGAAAAATAATGATAAATAATGATTTTAATGATTAAAACTATGTGATAAAAAATTAGTCAATGAATTGCGAAATAACTACATATTCACTAAAAACAGCAAAAAAGGGCGATTAAGAGCTTTCTTCACAGAAAAAAACAATTTTCTAATTCATTTTCACAAATATTAAAGTTGTGTTCAAAGCAATGAGTCAAACATTACTTTATCTAAAGTTAAGTTTTTTCTG